AGGCCTCACCCTCTTTGGGGATTGAATGTGGGGTGGGATGGGGGGTTGATGAGGAAAGGGAGGATGGGAGTCAAAGGGAACTGAGATTGATATGTAAAATATGATTGCTTCTAAACTAAATTTTAAAAAGTTAAAAACCAAGGGTTATGGAGGTGCATGTCTTTAATCCCAGCCCATAGAGGGCAGATCTCTATGTATTTGAAGCCAGCCTGGTCTACACTGCAAGTTCCATGACAGCCAGGGCTACATAAATCCCAGTCACAATCAAAACCAAACCAAAACCATTACAAGTTAAATTTCTTGTATTTTTGGTAACAAAAATTGGTAGTTCCCAGAGAAACATGCATATTTATATTGCTGTGTGGTGTCTTTCTTTCCTTAAATTTTTTCAAGATACTGACTCATTCATGCCTGAAATCTCAGCATTTGAGAGGTGGAGACTTTTGTATCCTCGCTGTTCTAGAATTCACTCTGTTGATGAGACTGGCCTCTAACTCAGATCTCTCTGCCTCTGCCTCCTGAGTGCTAGAATTAAAGGCATGAGCCACCACCTGTCTCCCAGGTCTACTTCTACTGTAGAAAATGTTCTGGGTTCAAAGTGTGAGCTCCCCAGAACTCACATGAAACTTAATATCCAGTGTCAAGTTGTGTATGTGAAGGTGGATCCATGGAAGCTAGATCAAGAAAAAGTTGGTATGCCCTGTGTAAGGGCACAGTAAGTAACCGCCCATGTGAACCAGAAGATGAGCCCTCAGCAGACTCTGAAGCTCCTCATGTTATGATCTTGGACTCCCAACTTTAGCATGGTCAAAAGTGAGTTTCACATTTATAGGGTATAGTAGTAGCATCTTTTCCGATGTTCTCTGGAACCCAAGTGAGCTTGAGCCAGGCTCTCCTCTACTTTAACAGGTCACATCTGCACCTGAAATCATGCCCAAAGGGTGTGGCTATTACTACAAGTTCACTGCAAAGGCAAGATGCCATTACAGGGTATGTTTATGGTACTTTATTATAGTAGCCCTACTGGACTAAGACAACTATTATCTTCCCAACACACTAAACTTACACTTTTTAAAATCAGTAAGAAAATGCTTTTTATCAAACACTGAAAAATAAAACAGATCAAAGATAGTTCTTCAAAAGGGAAGTGTTTTTCATTGGTTTGGAGTTGGTTTGAAAGGGAAGGCCTAAAATAGTTCAAGGAAATAAAATTACAGAGCAAAGTCATTCTGTATTTAGTAGGATTGTAGTTTGGGGTTTTCCCCAGATATTGGCTGTGAAATGATATATATGAGCTGTTGGAGCCTGCTCCAACAAGTCAGCTAGACTCCAAATGGAAATAGAGTCAAACATGGGCTGTCACATCAAGCCAATTTGCCAGACCTCAGACTAGATTGGGCTCCATAAATCATTGCCTATGGCTATTGTGTGACAGTGGTGTTGGGATAAACTGGGCAACACAAGGGAGCCTCCAAATCTGAGTGTTAGTGTTCAGGCATCTGTACTGGTCTGTCCTTGGGGTTCTGACAGGATACACCCTCAGCTGCAGCCACTAAGAACACCACCTGTACACATTCACTATGTTCTCTTCTAAAAAGGCCCTGCCCACCTCCTATCTTCCTCTTTCTCTGCTTCTCTGCCTGTTTCTCCTCTCTTCCTCTCTCTTCTCTTCTGCTCCTATCCCAAAAGGGTGGTTCCCCCTCTCCCCTCCCCTCTTTTCCCATTCACTTTCCTCCAATAGAAAACAAACAAACAAACAAAAACCCCAAAAACAAAAGCCCTCCACCCAAGCTCTGCCGAATGACATCTTTCTCTTGAGCTCTGCTTTTGTTTAATTACATCACTGAGGCTGGAGAAAATACATGGTAATGTCAAGGTCATGCCTGTGTCAAATATGAGCCACCAGGAATGTGAGAATAGGTTGTGCTTTGGATGTAATAAATTTTGTTGAATGCCTTATCAATTAAATGACAACACTTCCTCTTTTTTGTTTTCTTTTTTGGGGGGGATAGGATGGAGTGCTTTAGGCTGAGTCTCAAGGAGCCCATGCTGGTTTTGAATTCACTATATACGGATGGCCTTGCACTCTTTCCAAAGGTTTTATTGCATTTTTGAGTGTTTACCTGAATGCATGTCTGTGAACCACATCCATTCTGTGCCTGTGGAGGTCAGAAGAGGCCGTGGAACTTCCCTGGGGCTGGGGTGACAGATGGTTGTGATTGGTCATGCGGGTGCTGGGAATTGAACCCAGGTCACACGGAAGAGCAGCCAGTGCTCTAAACCACCAAGTTGAGTCATCTCTCCATCTCCTGGCCTTGAGACAGGGTTTCTCTGTGTAGCGCTGGCCGTCCTGGAACTCGCTGTGTAGAGAAGGCTGCTCTTGAACTCTTAGAGGGCCACTTACCAATGCTTTCACACTGGTCCTGTGGCTTTCTCCTCTGTAGTGCTAGAATTAGAGGCCTTCAGCACCATGCCAAGCTGTACATTTGTGAAATGACAAGTTTCTGCCTACATGCTTTTGTGAACAGAGTGCAATGCCATATACTAGATTGTGGTGTTTTCTGCTTAGTAATAAAGTTGAAGCCAGCTGGTATGAAAAATGAAGTTATTACAGCAAGTGTTATTATTTCCAGACTAGGCTTACTCCAAGAATTGATCAAGAATGTGAAGAACAAATTGTCTGTAGGCTATGTAAAGTCTAAAATCTTTAAATAAATCTAGATGATGAAATCAAAGTTTGACCAATATCACAAATAATCAAGATTTGAAAGCAACTTGGCACCCACGGGACCCAACCTTCCTGGATTATAAATGGGAAGACACTTGCACACTTAAGAACTTATGGGCAAAAACGCAAGACATGGGCAGGTGGTGGGTATCATGAGGTGTAGACACAGAAAGTTACTGCATGATTACCTGCAGCTCAACACAGCCCCCCCACCCCGTCCTGTTATTATCAAAGCACTTATTAATCCTCCTATTAAACATGACCACTGGTGCACACCTGTAATCTCAGCACTTGGAAGGCAGAGAGAAGAAAAATAAAATAGGTGTGTCCAACTAAAATTCATTAGAAAAGGCCTACTTAAAAAAATGCCCACAGGGACTGAGATGAATAGAGAAAAAAGGAAGCCAAATGTGTTCTAGCTAGGGAAAAGGGGCCAGTCAAAGAAACACACCCTGAGCAGAGCCAAAGAAACACACTTTGGCCCTGCAACTAGAACTAAAGAAACGTACCCTGACCCTGAAACCAGTGCCAAAAGAACACACTTTGTCCCTGGAATCAGAGTCAGTGAAAGAAATGCACCCTGACCCTAAAATTGGAGCCAAAAGGCTAAAAAGGACCAGAGAAAGAAACACACTTTGGCTCTGAAACCAGAGCCAAATCTGACCCTAATCTGAGTTTAGCACTAAAATCTGACCAATCTCCACCCTAGAAGCCCTAAATAAACCCTGTGTCTGTCCAGCTTGAGTCTGTTCGTGCTACCCGGCTGTCCTCTGCCACTCTGGTAGTCACTCTCTTGGATCCTTCCCTCCCAATAAACCCGTGGATGAGCTTTGGGTGAAGATTTTCTTTTGCGGTGGCGACAGAGCAGAGGCGGCCCTGGGCAGAGCAGAGCAAACATAACACTTGCCCGGGAAACCTTACCTTGGCAGAGCAGAGTTGTTACACTCCACTCCCGCTCTCCCGGAGGAGCAGAGTTGAACTGTATCAACTTTGCCCGAGAAACCTCCTGCTGAGCAAAACTGCTATATTAGGCGAACATCCCCAGCTGGAAGACCCTTTCCTGCCTGAGCTGAGCCCATACACCGGGGAAGCCTTTCTCTGAGGCAAGGCTGTAAGCTGCTAAGCTTACTGCAACCTGTGGTGGTCCTTGGCTCCTGAGCTCCAAGGATACCTTTCCATCTGAGCTGTGTAACACTCAGTATCCTGTGGCTCCCTAGTGCCAGAATACCTGACCCACTCCTGTCCCATCCCGGTCCGCCCGAAATGCCTACAGCTATTGTTATTTTAAAACAGGTGGAGTGGAACACATTTGTAATTTCTCCCAAGGCTGAGGCTTGAGAAGCAGATTTCAAATTTGAGGTCAACCTGGGGTCTCTATTAAAAGAACCCTTTCCTAATTTGTAGTATCCTGACTTCGGATTCCTGACCTGCTAAAATTCCTGCCTGGAGGAGTATCAGAAGACTGTGAGCCCATCAGGACATGGAGTGCTTTAATGTCAGGCAAGAGATGCAATAATTGGACTAGAATATGTTCCAGGCAAGAGATGCAAAGATGGGACTGGAATGTGCCAGCCTCAGACAGAGTTCGGGGCCATAGCCCAGAGAACACAGCGCTCAGCCGCAGCTTCACTAATCCGCTCCTTCTAAAGACTGCACAAGATTCCACGTGAGGACAGTGACCGCGGCGACAGGACTGCAGTTTTCGGTAGGGACCTGAAGTCTGCATGTCGTGCGGACACCGGGCTCCCAGGGGCGTCCTCACTTTCCCTAGGAAACGTAAGAGCTCTGAATCCTCGCGACGGTTCGGAGGGAAACACGTGATGGAAAAGAACCACCGAGTCTCAAAGCACGAAGAGCCCGGTCCACGGCGGAGTTCCCTCCTCAGCCCGCCAAGCGTGCCCCACCGCCACCGAGCACCCCCGTTCCATCCAGACGGTAGGTCACCCGACGCGGCGGGGGACGCCAGGCCCTTGGCCATCCAGACCGCACGGCCGGCGGGGACGCAAACGCCAGGTCGCCAGACCCACCGGTCGGCATCTACACCGCAGGCGGAACGCCAACACAGTCAACCGAGCCAGAGCTCTCGCGGGATTTGCGAGGGCGGCCGGCAGGCTGCCTGCTCGTCAAGTCTCGCGTTGTTTGGTCAAGGGGGCGGGGAGGGGCGGGGAGGGGCGGGGGAGCTATCCGCGAGGGGGCGGGGTCCGGCGGGCGGAGGGTGGGGGGCGTGTCCGGGAGTGTTGACTCTGGCGTCTGTCTTCCGGGGTCGCCCGGCGCATGCGCGGCTCCCCGGCGGTGGTGGAAGCCGGGGCGGTGCAACCACCCGGGTCGGTGGGTGGCGGGGTCGGCCCGCCCTCCCGCGGGCGCTGGCGGTTGTGGTTGCTCGCCCTGCCGGCTGTCTGTGCGGCGGCCGCTTCGGGCTGCAGGGCTCCCCCTTCCGCAGTTGGTGACGCTGGCTGGCCCCGCGAACCGAGCGTCCGCTGCTTCTGCGGTAAGTGCGGTGCGCTGCCCGGCGGTGTGGACACGGCAGGGAGGATCCGGGAGAAGCAGGGCGAGCTGCTCTGCAGAGCCGAGGTGTTTGTTCTGCGTGTCTTTCTTCTTTTTAATCGTGAAAACACAGCTGTGCTTGTACAATCCTAAAACATTTGGGCACGGACCTGCTGGAATACCCTCGGCCTGCTCAGTAAGAAAAACAAGAGTTGTCAAACAATGAAAGCCCAATTCCCCCAGGCTTCTGGTCCCCAACCCCAATGTTTACTCCACCATTAAGGATTTTGCCCTTAGGTGTATGTGAGTGTGTTTATTGACAAAAATTGGAATCGTATATAGAATATCGATGTTTTTTTGGTCAACAGTATACGGATCCCTCTACTTTTTTATTCAGACTTTATTTTTTAAATGTCACCATTGAACATGGGCTTTATGCTTTCAATAGCAACTCACTTAAAAGCTGATTGTGTATTTTATAATTTGAGACATTGTCCTGTAGCTCAGGCTGACCTAGAACCTCCTGTGTAGGGGAAGCTGACCTTGAACTTCTGGCTTCTCCTACCTCCTAGGTGCTGGGGTCAAACATGAGCTTGCCGTGCCTGGCCTACAAGCCAGTATTTTGCAATTTAATATGTTGACACTTTCACAACATCTACGGCTTTCATAAGAAGCAGGTCGAATAGCGTTTACATAGAGCCCAGTCAGAGTGGACATGAGAGGGAATGACTTTCTAAAGAATATGGCACAGGTTATACTTTCTCTTTATTGCATGTATTAAAGCTGTAATACCATATGGAAGTATTTAATTCTTAAAAATCCAGGAGGTTACTTTTGATGAAGACATATGGTAGAAAGTCAGTGCCTGGGAATTTGTACTCCAATAAGAAAAAAAAAATCAGGAGTTAAATATTTTGCTAGGTGAACCCTAAGGAGAAGTGAGAAAGTGGAAGGATATTGGTACTCTAAAACTTGCTAGAGAATAAGACTGAAAGGTAGCAGTTACCTACAGCAACTAACTTTATTTATTAAAGATTTACTACTGCACTGGTGTTGATGGCAACCATCTTTTTCCAAACAGATCCCTCCCTAAGTCACAGATTTAATTGTGAGCATTTTATGAAGGAAATGGGCTTAAAAGACATGAAGAGAGCTGTGGTGTCTTAGTTGGTTCTGGCAACAGTATGCTGGTACTGTTTTCATAAGGCCTCAGTATTGTCTTCCTGCTTCTGTGGTTGGTCAGTGGAAGCCCCAAGCTCCTGTCTGGCCTCTCTGGATTGAGTGCGCTGAGTATTTTAACTGCATTTTTGTCACTGCCTTGTGCTCCTGCATGAAAACCACCTTATCAAAAAAGATGTAAGAAGCTATCATGGTGTTGTTCTAGATAAGGGTTCTGGTGGTTTGATATTAAAATAGAGGAACCTCTGTACGTTGAAAAGAATACAGAGTAGAAGTTAAGATTAAAATTTGCTTCTTTCATGAATGTTAAAAATCTGTAAGTGGAGTTTGTGTCTTATGGTACATTAACCTTTTCATTTATGTCAGGTGCGACAACTGTAATTTAAGGAAATATGAGCAATTGTAATATGTAAATAAAGTATGGCCATTATGTATTTAGGAGAAACCCTTGTGTAGTCAAAGATTAGAGCTGTTCTCGTCTGTTAAGGCTAACAAGTTAGTGAAGTAGTTGCCATCCATTATCTCTTTAGTCGAATAAGGTATGTCTCCTACTTGTGGAGCACAACATTATTTCAACCTAGGAAAGCATTTTAAGTAGAATATAATATTCATTCACTTTCAGTTATTGAAGCAGGGAGGGTCAGGGAATGTACTGAGTGTGTATGTTCAGAAATTAAGAGCAATGTCGGGAGTTGGAGCTGAGTAGTTTGCCTGAGACCCTCCATAATTCCTAGTACCAAAAACACAGCCATCCTATGATTGGTGGGAAAGCTTGCTTTCTAGTTTAACCTGAAAATTCTTTTGGGGATATTCAAACAAGTAGTCTGAAATAAATCAACTCTGGTTTGGTTCTTGTGTTTTTCTTTCTTTTTCTTGTTTTTGTTTTGTTGTTTTCCAGACAGGGTTTCTCTGGAACTTTGGCGGCTGTCCTGGGACTTGCTCTGTATACCAGGCTGGCCTCGAACTCACAAGAGATCTGCCTACTTCTGCCTCCTGAATGCCAGCATTTCCCAGCATCTTTTTTTTTTTTTTAATAAAAAGTACAAGGGTTTATATCGCCAATTTAAATTATTATTAATCTTCTTCTTTGTGTGTTTTGTTTGTTTCGTTTTGGTCAGGGTAAAGAACACAAAATTTGTTATATACGAAAAGCATGAGAGTGCTAAGATCCCACTTAGGGAGTTTAAGAACAGTCATTTCAGATTTCATCAGGAACTCTTCCAGAGTTGGGATTTAAGGAAGAAGTCAGGGTGGGGGGAGGGGGTGTGAAATTGAGAATTGACTATCAGTAAACAAAGGGAGAAAAAACGATTTTTTAGAAGACTCCTTAGAATCAGATGTGTGGATGCAGAAGGATAAGAAGTTACAATTCTTTTAGTTTTGAGATAGTGAATAATAGCTAATTATAATCATTCTTTATTGTGTTCTGCTGGGAACTGAATTAGAATAATTAGTAACTTTCAGCACTTTGCAAGTTTTGTTATACTTCGTATAGCAGTCCCATGTCTGTTAGTTCCTAATTGGAGGTTACACTGCATTTGAAGAGCTGTCCCATGAGAAGTGCTATAAAGGACTGTAACCTGCACCAGCTCTGGCCAGCACCCCAAATGCTCCTGCTTGCCTGCATCAGCACCCCAAATGCTCCTGCCTGCCTTGAGTTTCCTTGATTTTGGTTCTCACTTTTCCAGCTGTGCCTGCCCCCCTCCCCATCTCGGATCTTTCATGGACAGCTCATTTTCCTTAACTTTGGCATTGCTGCTGCTCTTCTCTGATCAGTTCTTACCGGCTGCCATTCTATTACTTTGGATTGCTATACCTCTCTCATTTCTTTATTTTAATAACTGTAATATTGTCTCAGTCCTGTGGTCTCCAAATCAACCCTAGACTTTTTGCTGTTATTCTCAGTAGTATTTTCTGTCACCATGCCTTTTTATTTTGTTCTAGCAGCCATGCACACAGTAAAATACCTCTAATCTAGGTTTTGCTTTTCATCCTGCTTACTGATACTCATTGACCTAAAAAGCCCTACTTGTGTTCTTTGCCAGGTGACAAATAAAAACCCAAAACATTGTGTGTGTGTGTGTGTGTGTGTGTGTGTCTGCCACCAGTGAGTGCTTTATTCTCATTTGGTCCTTACAATGCATGTTAGGAGTGGCTATTACGTGGAGGGGCTGGGATTCATGCTGCAGGCATCATTCTTCTGCATTGTCTCTATTAAAGGACCCCAGTGCTTTTGAAAAACTTAGTTTGTATAGTAACAGACGTTAGCATTTGCCCCCAAAACAGTGTAAACTTAAGTTTTACCACCCTTTTCCTTTTTTTCTTCTCATTCATTGCACATTTCTTGGAGTCTTTTTTAACTTTATGTTTAAAAATAAGTCCTGTGTAAAGATGGGCTCTGACCCTCTTCTGGGTATGGTGGTGGGTTCTGCCTGTTCAGATCTGGATGATGTGATGTGGTTTCCTCCCCACCCGCTAGCCACTGGGATTGGATTGTGAAGGTCTTGGAGGGAGCAGCAGTGGGAAAAGCCCTGCTTCACGGATAAGAGGTATTTCCTTTTAGCTGCCACGTTTCTGTTTCTGTTTCAGTTCTGTTACTTTATTTCCCGGACACATACACACCACACACATTACAGCATTACTAGAGTTTTATGTGTTAGACAACTCAATTTTCTTGTTCTAGCTATGTAGATTGTGTGAATTCTTTATTCAGATTATTAGGAAAAGTTAAATGGCTTATATACAAATCAGCTTATTTATGTAATTGGTTTCTTGGTGTATCTAAGTATCCTAATGAGCTTCAGTATTCTCACAACAGCTTCTTAGACTCTGTTTCTGGTCTGTCAGGTAATGCCAAGAATTTAAGGTTTCCCAAGCTATGTGTTTGTATATATTTATTCATGCATAATTTTATACATAGTAGTTTGATTTCTTGAATAGGGATTATGGGATAGTTTCTATTTTTTTATAAGTAGGAATTTTAAAGTTTTTCTGGTAGTTATTAAAGGTTAGCTTTTTAACTTTTTTGTTAAGATTTTTTGTTTTAGAGATTTAATTATCATGTATACTGTTTTGTCTACATGTATGCCTACAGGCCATAAGGGGGCACCAGATCTCATTATGGGTAGTTGTGAGCCATCATGTGGCTTCTGGGAATTGAACTCAGGACCTCTGGAAGAACAGCCAGTGCTCTTAACCTTTGATCCATTTCTCCAGCCCTAACTCTTTCTTTCTTTCTTTTTCTCTTTCTTTCTTTTTCTGTCTGTCTTTCTTTCTTCCTTTCTTCCTTCCTTCCCTCCCTCCTTCCTTCCTTCCTTCCTTCCTTCCTTCCTTCCTTCCTTCCTTCCTCTTCCTCTCTCTCTCTCTTTCTTTCTTTCTTTTTTGAGACAAGGTAGCTGATATCTCAGGCTGGCCTCAAACTCCCCGTGTAGTAGAGAATGACCTTGAACTGGTGATCTTCCCTCTCCCGCCTGCTTCCTGGTGTGTTGGGTTGCAGGTATGCCCCTCCAGCACTTATGTAGTTTTAGTGTTGGGGACTGGACTCAGGGCGTCATTCATGGTACTTCAGTACTTTACCAGCTGATCTGTCTCCCAGCTCATAACACTTAGTTTGTAAAAGTTTGCTAATTATGCCATTTGTTTTAGAGTGCTGTGTATCTTGTCTAGATTTTGTCCGTATGGTTTATGGCTTAGTTTGTTTAAGATGTTTTCATTTGTGCGGATGCCCTGTGAGCTCCCATTGTTTCACTTCCTTTTTTGATACGCACTGAAGTTCTTGCTGGTCTGGAACTCCCTGTGTAGATCACGTTGGCTTCAGCTTCACAG